GTACTTTTGTGTGGCTGGCTTCTAGTGGCTTCCAACTCCTGATGGAGCAATTTTTCGAAATTATAAGCCGAGTCACTGGGGAAGCATGCCTAGGGCTTATAGCCTTACGTACTGGATTTCCAAGTGTTTGCCCTTTCGGTGATTAGTTTCCTAGTTCGCGTACTCGTTTTCTCTTTCTGAAAACCACTCTTTGTGTGAAGCCACGGTTGCGACCTGTGGGTTCTGCAGAGAATGTTTTGATTTTGATGGAATAGAAGAAACCCAAAGGGGATGGGATCTGCACACATCCCCATCCCCTTTGATTGACCCTCGACCTCTGTCCTGAAATCCGGTTTGGGTTTGGGCATAAACGTATAATTCCTGGTTTTTAATCTCTTTTTCCGTGAATAAAAAAGTAATTTTGTAGAATTAATGTTCATTTCAAACACGTGTTGGAAGTTATGGGGTAGTGTGCGTGATAAGTGAATAATTTAAGTGATGGGATTTCTTGGAGGAGCGAATTTTTCTGCAGTTTTTCTGGAGTCTGGAGTGGATTTTTGCTACCGGAAGCGGCATCAGAAAAAATTCCAGAAAACTTATCAGACTGGGATGCCTATTCGAAGTGAGGGCTCTGATGAGAACTTCTTCAGCTATACCCACCAAGGGTAAGGCTCAGATATGGGAAAATTTAGTCTTGGGAGGGCCACGCACCTAACTTCGATTAGAGCCGTCATGAGGGTATTCCGCAGGTCAATTGACATGAGGGAGACAGAAGATTGGATACTCATCCAAAGGTCTAAGACCAAGTTAGCTAAAACCTGAGCCTTATACCTTTGAAAGACCCTGGCGTGGATATAGTTAAGGAAGTTTTCGGGAAGTCCCTCCTGAGCCCAAAGAGGGCCAATGAAACGCTCCCAAAATATGAATGGTTTGATTGACCTGACCATGTTTCAATGTAGTGGATTGTCCTAAGGTTGCCGTTTTCAAATATCCCATCTGTGATCCCGTGAGGATTGAGAGCAGGTGAGAACCAGACGTGCGACCTTTATGAGTTCTCTCCAGCAATATGACCCCTTTCGCATTGCAACTACCAAAGATCTGTTGGCAGGGAAGAAAGGAACAGGAATTGCGTAACTAGTCTAACCCAAGGAATTCCATCAAATTTATCAATTGGCATCCCATATACCCCTTAAAACTCTGGGCTCCTCCTTCTCAGGCGGATTAGTGGGGTCCACGACGCTGTTCCCATGGCCCCCTGGCAAACCTGGGAGAATCTTCTTGACTCAATGTTTTGTTAACTGCTGTTATTTTGCCGTAGAACGCGATGCGAATGTTTCAAAAGGTTGGCGATTTGTGGGCAAAACTTCAGCCCCGAGCGAGACTCGACCCCGAACCTGTGCTGTCCGGGCCGACGTAAAAATCTTACACCTCTAACAAGCACAGTCGTGTAGAGGCTGGCTGTAGACTGCAACAACGCAAAATTACTGGTTTTCCCAAGCTCATTCGCGTTCAACCCAGCAAAGACATGGTAATAGTGAGAAAATCAATAAGTCTCTTTGTGTTAGATCAATAAAATGAATCAAAGCGACCCAAACATGACGTCATCAGCTCCCATGTCTCGTCTTTTTCGGTCGACGATTGATAAGATAAGGTGAGCTACAAATGTTTCAGTTCATGTAATTCGTTCAAATGGTACTTTTTGTGAGCTATTATTATTTCCTAACGATATCATTATCGTGAGAGTTTGACATTTTCCTAAATTAATTTTCTTTTTTTTTCTTAAACTTCAGCCTTGTTTTCTTGTAAAATTTACGGTAAATGTTGCATTTCGAGTCAGACTTGGAGCCCTAAAGGCCCTAAGAATCACACAGACTTAGCATACGCACACTTGGTTAGCTATCGATTTTGCGCTTTTTCAATCAATATCGGTTTTCCGCAATATTTATGCGTCATAAATAACAGCTCAAGTGTGGCTCCACTGGTATGAGCTCAATTAAGGGAAGCAGTAGAAGAAATCTTCTCGCGGGAACGTTTTCTTCACTACTTTTTATTTTGTTTTATTTTCTGCTACTATGCCAGTATCATTTCTACGTCACTTATGCTGCCTTCAGATGCGTTTGGAGGGCTTTTTATATTTTATCATCACAATTTGAGGAAAGACATAGAGGCAGAAACTTGACAGTTCATAGCTGAACTGAGTAGGCAGAACTAGAAAACTTATAGGTTTCACTTGTCTCCAAGCAGTGTGGTCGTATAGTCGCTTTAGGGCTCATTCCTCGATTTTCACAAAGGTGTCCGCTATGCCAAAACCAACTCAATACCACACAAACTGGCCCAGACCATAAGGTACCATTACGTAACGTCTCTAAAAGAAAGGCGACAACAGGCGGCCGTGTTGGGGTCCCCGTTCTCAGTTCTGGTATTTCGCCAGCCAAAATTCAGTGGGTACTCATTCTTGGGAGGACGCTTCTCCTACCACCTTCACATTTGAGATACTGATCATATTAGGACACTACTGCCGGGCTACGAGCTTTTTTACGTACAAGGATCCTGGAGGATTCAGTAGATGTTGCGGTGATCAGTACCTCCTCTGGGCTCATATCCGAAGTACTGGCCCATGCGGTCGAGAAAAACATAGACTTCCGGGCTTGTAATCTTTGAAGTTTCGTAGAAGGCCTGACCACTTGCAGTGTACGTCCGTTTGCATTCTGACAATACACTTTGAAACTTCTTTGTTCGCGTGTTTGCAGCACGTATCCCCATTGATTCGAAGTGTTTTCGTTCAAAAAGCACCCGTGATGGTCCCAATCGTTTTACGATACCCAAAACGCCCCTTTCACAGTCCATAGTTCCAGTTGAATAATGGCATTTGCTTGTACTGAGGACAAACGTAAAATCATTGTCCCAATTAAGTCCAGTTGCACTAACGCTGTTGCTGGGTATCGCGTACTGGTTCAAAAATGAGGGTCATGAAGGGATCAACATCGATTCAAACAGGGACGTGTCGAATATGTAGCATGCTGCCTGGGATCCGCCCCATAGTTAGCAACTCATGAGACTTTAGGTCTGGTTTCCCAACCCCCCAGGTTGTTATATGTATTTTGCGGTTTCATGATCATTTTGCCATTCACGATTTTAAAGAGAGGAAGCCTTTCCATCTGCCAACTTACTTCAAAAAGAACTTCTGCTTAGCAAGTAACGCTTACTTGCTCAGCAGGAGGTTAAGTTTCAGGGCTATGGACTCCATTCGGACTGATATCGAACACTTGTTTCACATCGTCTAACAGAGCCGTTGATTAGTACATAAGAGGCACGATCTGCGGTTCATAGTTAGTTGCCTCGACCTGAGGCGTCCCTGATAGCTTTAGCTGAGATTTTCGGTTGTAGGGCTGTGCAGCGTGATTTTCTGTTTTTCTTTTATTATACACAACACGGCACAAATAGCATTTTCTTTTGTGTCTCTCCTAGTGTAGTATAAAGGGCAGAATAATCTCGTGCCGCGTGTGTGTCTGAATTTCCCTCTCATTAACATCTCCATCGGCCAAACTCTGAGATATGCAGGAAGTTGCTTATTGGCTTTGGAAGCTTACGATGCTGGGAAATATCCCAAGGGAAACTTCTCAAACCTGAAATCTCCACCATCCTGTTCGCACTATACTTTCGACATAAGTTTGGGGGTGTAGTGCAGTAGGATCGGAATTGTCGCGTCGTGGCGAGAGAGACGCCGCGCGCGAAGGAATGTAGTTAGAAATACAGAAACAAGAGAGCTAACATTAGAATCATGCCAAAAGTAGAAATCGCATATCGATTGAGCTGTATGAAGAACGCTAGAACTGTAATAACGAGGCGGATGGTCCGCGATTGCCGCGCGCGGCGAATCGATCGCACAAGACCGAGCCTGTCTCCCCAGTTTTGGTAAAGTCTCTTGAGGAAATGAACTTGGCAAATGACGAGTTGCGCCAGTAGAAGTAACAAAAATGTCAGCGTCAAGGGCTTAATCACAAAGTCCTTATGTCAATTTACGTCAGGGAAAATTGCCAAGGGTCTACTAAAGTAGGACTAGCACAGTTTTTAAGCAGCAGTTCTTGATTTAAAAACATTTTCTAATCATGTTGTTTATTTAAAAGAGACTTGTTTTTTCTGAGTTGTAACTAAAGTGAAAGACTATGTTAACGATTCCTATTACTGTATATGACTTTAGTAGGGGGATCTGCCAGCGTTACTAACGTATACTTGTACACGCAAACTCATTCGAAATATCATTTCGTTGTTGGCCAATTCTTACTTAACGATTGTTTACTACTTTGATTTTTCATTTATCTTCCAGATCTCAGATGTCTATAGCCGACGAAATTCTACCGTATTTATCCGTGTCTGCAATTTGTACGACAATTGGTCTGTTTCTGTGTGGTATTCAGATTTGTTTACGAATTCGTGAACGTGGTACTACTGAGGGTACCGGATCGGCGCCATTTCTTATCGCATTCATTTCCTGTGCATTCTGGCTACAGTATGGTGTCCTGAAACACGATAATGTAGTAATTTTTGTAAATATTGTTGGATTTATGTTACAAGGATGCTATCTGTCATATTACTTCTTCATGACGAGGAATACGGTGAGTATGTGCATTTTAACGAAAGCTTATTTGAGCATTCTTTTATTAGAGTGGCAACCAAATAATTGCGATACAATTTGGAAAAACGTAATTACTTTTTTTTTACAAAAAAATAATATTTATTCATTTATAGAGTGTTCATAAATACTCAAGTGAGAGGCTTATGAATATCATCTTGAAAACAGCTCGCTCCCCATAATATAAATGTTCGAGTTATCGAGAAAATTGTGGAGCTACTGTTAGTTGCGGACCTAATTAATTATACTTTTTGTGTAGAGCACATGAAACATTTAAGACCACGACAAACAGGAGGCAAAGGG